CCCTTCTTATGCATATGGCACCAGTAGATCTATACTGGGTCTTGTAAATACACGGAGAGCAGCACTGAGTCGGGACATGAGTCCAATGTGATGTCATGTATATTTGATTTACTCATCACGCCTATAACAGAGCATTGGGTGAATGCGTCCTCTATAACATCTAATGTGTACATACTAACACACTATTAAAACATCAAACTAGATTCATTGATGTTGTTCTTTTTGACCAAATTTTCTTGGTGACTTTAGCTGGAAATTGCAATACCTTACTGAACGACGACGACCATTCTGGTGTGGTTACGGTATACGATATATTACGTTTACCAATCATATTATAGGTCTGACAACATTGCATTAATTGGGTTGGCAAATGCCCAGAAACTGGCACAATAACACATAAAACAGCTGAATAACAATCTATAGTTCAATACCTGTTCTGCATAGTCAGCGGTAATTGTAAGTCTGTCCATATCGCATTTGTCTGTTTCGCTGTTCACTGTAAGTGATCTGTAGGTAGATAATATATAAATAATTGAAATTACAACAGAATTGTTTTTTCTAATTTGCAATACAAAATAACCTTATTCGTCGTAAAAAGAATGCAGTTCTAAACTCATCACTACGTTGGATTACAACAATATGAACATGGATCCTTATCTGTTCACAATATCGTGAATATTCTTTTTACAGATTGAAAAAAAAAAACTTGAACATATTAAATAAAATGTCCATATTACCTGTCTTCTTTCCATAGTCACTAACAATTGACATGACAGTCACCGTAATCAGGTAAAACAAGTCTGTTCATGTATTTGTCATATCAAACACGTGATTAATTCATGATTCATGTTATCACATTACAAACAAAGAAAGGGTCGTCAGATTGTCTACTTAGATTTGCAAATTGCCCTAGTCAGATTACATTTGACCGTTTCACTTTGATGTCAATGACACAAAAAGTAGGATAGATTTAAACAACTGGACAATTACAACAATTGTCAAAACACGCGTGTTTTAACTAATTTGTCTTTTCCTATGACAAACTATGTTAAAGCAACGTGTTATTGTTACCATAGTGAAACTTTTCAGTACCAGATAGTATACTTTTCTCTCGAGTAAATTCCTAAATTGTCTACATCTATACATTTAATTTGCCGAATATTTGCTGTTTATCAACGCCCAAGTGTTTCATAAAAGCTATTTGAATTATTGAACATAGCGAACAGTACTTACCGTTCACGTTCGTGGCAGGCGCTGCTACCCCAATGGTCGATCGAAACATGCATTATGATGATAACCAATAGCAAATCACATATTCCGTTACCATGGAGTTGTTTGCATGGTGACGTATGCATCATGCGAAATACGACGTCATTGGTCGAAAGTTCACGGTGACTCAATGTTGCGAAAGATTCTACTTTGCTGACGATTCAAAAATACTTACAATGAGCGTATGGCCCACTTGCACACCTAGTTGCATTTAGTTGGAGAGTTTGGGAGTTGGGTGCCCTTAGGCTATTAGCCAGGAATTTGCAACTGCCAGTCCAAAAAATTCAACTTCATGAAAATGTAGATGGTTTTGAATATATTTTGGTAAAATTATCAAAGAACAATAGGAAAAAACAGAAAAATGGGAAAAAAGTTGCCAGTCCAAAATCAAAGTTGCCAGTCCGTTTGGTGGGTGGACTGGTGGCTGGCTAACACCTTGGGTACCCTGCTGTCCAAACTCGTATTATCTAAACGACCTTGTATATTTAGTTTGATGTTATTATCAGGATATACAAATCATGTTTATATATAAGTATTATGCAATCATAAATCATAGCAAAGTTAGATGAAGAGATAATCCAAAGTCATCGTTATTAAATATAGCAAATATAATATCTAATCACTCAAGGCGGAATGGCATAGGCGACAATTGACAAATTAATTTAAAGTTGCTCAGAACACCCCCTTCTATTGGAAAAGTAAATATTAACATGTCATTTGTGGTAGGGACGGGTGACCGAGGGAGAAGGATGACATGGAACTTTACGTGTCTCAAAAAATCTAGTCCTTTCAGACACCCCCTGAAATACAACCATGTACCTGGGTTGGTACCAGCGTCTGTGTTAACGTGACGCAATACAGTATAAACATTCTATGCGAGCGCCTCTATTTTAAAATTTATACAAAATACACCAATTAACAAATTAAACAACACGACAATTTAACATTTTAATTAATTATTTTATTTAATGTTTATACTCAGTTAACTTGTTGTAATTTCATGGTAACTGATTTCAAAGGTTCGTACAAATTCCACGTGAACCAGTTTAGAGTTCCATGATAGTTTTCTTGTTTTGTAGTATAGTAGAACCCGTTCAGATTGCCGTCCGTGCAATGATTGAACCACCAGCCAGCATAGTAATTACTAGCACAGTTGTAGATGTACTGGTCATTGTCGTTGTCAAACGTCGAAAACGGCATTCCGTTGTTAGTAGTATATGTATCAATCAAAGAATCTCCCGCGGTTCCGGAATTCTCCCCTAAATGCAATGTGTAGTTGTTGTACTCATCTTCAATCACGAATGTATTATACTCCGCGTATGCGGTGAGTCCGTCCCCCTTTCCCAGGTCAATTCTGAGCTTGTACGGAGCCTGCTTTGTCAAATAGTGTATATTGTCGTTGCCGATCCAGTATTCCCCGTTGATGTTTCCAAACCCTTCTTTATAATCAGCCCAGTTTCTAATGAAGCTGACTGAGCCGTCTTGTCTACGTTGTATGACAGTCCACGCTCCAGAGTCTGTCATCTCACAGTACACGCTGAAGGGTGCGGATGCGCCTTCCGGTTGTATTTTGTACACACCAGAGAGGGGGCCAACAGTCTTCAATATATCTCCGCAATCTGGAATAAATATTTATATGATTAATAATTTCACTTGCTACTTGAATTTGTTAACTGTACGTGCTGACATATAAGTGTTAAGTCACCAGTGTAGTTCACTGTGACAGTAAAGCAGTAAACAATGTTTTGTAGTGTGTGCCATGACACACTCCAAATATGCAGTGTTCTATGTAAGTTTCTTACCTGCCCCTGGAGAATATATTTTATCGCTACCAATGTCGTTGTTGGAAACATCATTCTGTACATCGACACCTGTGATATTTATGTATGTAATATGATTAAAATTAAATTAATGCTTATCCGGAAAACTAGACACGACTTTATTCGATGTAGTGAAAAGCTCCATTCTTTACCCATATTTTATTTATTTTTGCTTATTTATGATTATTTTAGGGTTTACTTCGGCGACCGAGACACGATAAAACCTAACAAATGGTCATAAACAAATAAAAAACGGAAATCACGAAGAAGGTGAAACATATATATTGGAGCCTATACCTACACTGGATTTTAATTTTAAAAAAATAATTCACAGATTTCGCAGAAAATAATAACACGAGCAATTAAATTACATATGACGCTCTAAATATCCGTGCGTATTTAGTGTGTATATGCCACAGTGTTTGCATGTCACAATTTACCGAGTATCCAGACAAATACCTCCGAAAACAATATTTTGTAATTTATTGGCGATACGTATATCAAGTTAACTGAGTAAATTAAACATACTGTATTTAGCAAAACTACGACCCTCTTGACTTGTACGTTTAACTATGGTTGTATACAACACAGCTGCTACCAATGTAGCCGTGACTGCCAATATCGATACGAGAACCAATGCTACACGAAGAGACGCTTTCTTTGGTTCAATGTGCTACAATAACAAGGTGAATAAGTTAGGATTGTTACATTTTATATTAGTGTTAGGTGGACGACAGACTGAAGTGTAAAATTTAATGAGTTTTGTGCAACAGCTTATATAGTACACAATTGGCAATTTAGTATTATTAGTAAGCATGAAGTCTCGTATTAAAGCCTACTGTATTGATTTGTACTATAAATAACGATTCCCCAAATGAATATCGGTTCTCTCTAATGGTTATGTGACATCACAGTTTTGACACTCCTGATTCGTAGAAAGGTCGTGGACAATATAAATCTGTCTTCACAATTCACTCGATTACAAATGAAACTGGATCAAATAGCCGAAATAAGTGTGTGTTTTACCTGTTCTGCGTTTATCTTCATCATGATGTATCTGTGGTAATGCTATAAAAACAGGACTGCGTTCGGAAAGTTTGCATAAGTGAGCTATAGAACAAACCAATTTACAATTATTAATGAGAAGGGCATACATTTTACTGAATTCACTGATTTCTAATACTCCCAATTTAGTGTAATCGGTGTGTGAATTTTCAATAATATCCTTATAATAGAAATAACGCTGTCATGATATTATTGTCAATGAACTTGAAAACATACTCAATGTCGATTAATACTCGGAAGCAAATGGCCGCTGAGTTCTCGTAGTTAGCAAGAAAACCGCGTGATTTTTTTTCTCCATAACGTGTACCAGTCCCTCACGTCATCGATTCCACTGTTCCACTTATCTATAAAACGATGATATTTGGAACAGTAGATGCGATGAAAGATTATTTGAGGGGCTGAAAACAAGTTTTGAGTCTCTCTCGGTCTTGGCAGGCATTTGTGGCTACGGTCTATTGAAATATAATATATATATATATATATATATATATCGTCACCTAATACTAACTGGAACCCGAACAGTATCGTTGTAATCAAACACTGACACACTTGTAGGATCACCCATAGAGAAGTGGATCACAGATGTTATACTACGTTTTTAAGTTTACAATTTCCGACCAAAATGACAGAAAATTTCAAACTCACGTGCACTTAACAGTTCTACACATTATCTGATTAATGCATTCAACATTGTTGATCACATTGTCTTATCATTGACTCATCACTGACCCTAAGAGTTATCTTTTACAAACACAATGTCATCTGAATATCATGCTTATCGGCAATGAATGATTCGTGTCATCGCACGTATACAGAATTCTGTGAACCCAGAATGTTACACAACATCACTTTGTCGTTTCAAATAACGTTCTTCACTTATCTGATCTAATAGAATCGTCTTTTGGGTAAGTGTAAAACAGTATTCCTTAAAGGGGAACCTTCAACACCCGGGGATTGCGCAAAAGAATCATGGGACACTATTGTTTACGTTGTTTACAATGTTAATCTATCTTTTGTTATCCATTGTAATTTTAATCCAGAAAGTAAATTTGTTGTGAGATTAGGCTTAACTGGAAGTGCCACTTTAAATACTAGTATACATACGCCTAACTATAGCAAACACACGGACAGTTGGCATGCACTACAAATAAATAAATTGCTTGGCGAAAGGATTTAACATGTCGACAAACAAATAAAAAGAGGAGGTGCCCAAACCTGTTTCCACGGAAATAATAATTTTATGATTTCTCCCAAAGTGCTTGAAGTTTGAATAAACGTTACATTACATCACGAACACAAATAAGATGTCAATAATTCCCATTTAATCCCATATACCAGTCTGAGTGTATTGGTGTCTCATTAGCAGTATCATACTGCATAAACACATCGAGCAATATATATAAACAGACCATGGGTTATGTCGTTGTGCCGCAAACAGTATTCAGAAAACTCACCTCAGGCGTGGTGTATGAGTCAGACTAGTTAGCTCAACAAGTTTCTATAATGTTATTTAAACGAACAACTCGTCAGTGATAAAAATAAAACATGTACGAAGCAAGTCACATGTATCGGTGTCCATGGAATTGGGTCTATACATACATGACGTCACATGTTCTATGATTGGTTGAAAGTTTATCATAAAATAAATAAATCATTCGACGTGACGCAGTGATAAAGAAATGCTATACCGCATTTAGGTTCGCTTTAACATCATAGGCCTTATCAGCCAAGGGGAGGAACTGGTTCTGTTATTTGGTTGTTTCTCGTATGAGGCACACTGTGGACATCCGTTCAGGTATTTTCGGGACGGAGAAAGGAGACTGACACGGAATATCTTATATATGCTGGTGTTTACGTGTGTCTGGGAAGAGTTTGTGGGTGGAGTGCGCCCTCGCACATCTATATCAACTGTATATGTACTAGTATTCTATTTTAATATTTATTTAATCTTTATTGCAGAATATAAAGTGAAAAGCTCATATATCTTATACTTTTCTAGAATAGCTGTGGCCTATACATAGATTTACGACACAGAGCATAACAATTCTAACACAAATGCGTTACAGCTATCCTATTTTCATTTTATTAAGACGATCATAGAATGAAAAAAATAAACACGTTTTTGGTCTAAGAACGTCAAATGTTATATGTTAAAACATACCACTAGCACTACAGTCGGAACGGGTCCAGATATATACGACATGCATTATTATACACAGCACGGTAATCATAAATACTTGTACGATTATGATGAAACCAAAGCTGTTAACAACATATATTGGCGCAAAAGGTTCGAAACAATGTAATTGTAACATCAATGCTGCAACAACAAAAATTTGAAGCAGAATATTGACTTTGCCGCAGAATCTGTCGTTTTATGTTCTCATCACCCATACAGTTATCATTAATAATCATACATGTATAAGATAATAAAATAAACGTCACTATTCTAAGCTTAGAGCCACTAAGTTATATAGGTAGAAGAAACTGTTTCTAAGAGCCGTTTTCCTAGAAATAAAGTATATACATTCAGACCTCCTAGGTTGGTAGATAATAAGGTTCAAGCCATATTCATAGCAAGCATAAACAAGAGTTCACAAATCGCGGATGGACAGGCAGATAAAATAAGTCATCGGCATAAATCAGATAAACGATAAAACCACACACGCAGCAGTCCACTCTAGATGACTGTAAACGAGCACTGATGTCATCAATATATACATTGAAAAGTAAAGGCGAAATAATTCTACTTTGCCGAACGCCGTTTTTAACCGTGAAACGAAGTAGAATTTCCCCAACGCAAAGCAAAGAAATAACAATTAAAATGCAAATAACATGAAAAGGTAGATACCTGTCAATTAATTTTCTAAACAGGACCAAATGATAGACACGGTCAAATGCATTGGTTGCGTCTAAAAACATAGGTCTATAATACGAATGATAATTTCTTTCATAGGATATTAAAATACAAAGTTTGTGGGCGGAGTGCGCCCTCACACACCATCACCAGCCATACGTATTTTATGTTAATTGACGTTGCGGTTAGTTGCCTTGTTATAGGCTAAATGTACAAAGCAATGACTAATACAGAATGGGCAATATAGATTATTTTAAGTTTTTCTAATCCAGCATCTTCAAATAAATATAGTTTGACAAGTATTTATCGTATATAAAACAACAATTGTTTAACGGCAAACATATCAGTATTCATTAAACGAATTAATTATATCATAGTGCGCTTTGTAAGTCGAACACTACGATAAAAAACCTTCCGTTTTCAACATTGTACAATTCTTTCGTTTTGGGGGAGAAAAAATCCAAAAAAACTGATTTTAACAAGATAATTCAGAAATGCATAACAAAATGTATTTCCTATGCACCCATAAATAATTTTCATTAATAAATATAAATAATTACCGGTTACACACGAATATTACAGTAAAAAGAATTGATATATTCTCTATATTTTTACCTTTATTTGTCTTGAATTATGACTGAAAGGAGCTGAATGAAATTACAAACTACGTAGTGCGTTCAACAACTCATGTATGAACAATAACTTTAATATGATTTTACTCGGTAAAAATACTGTATTTTTCGTGCATAAAAAAATCAAGTCTCAAGAACTAATAAAAAGCTCTACGAATGAAAATGTCACCAAATTTTGATACAAATGGTAAATATTAGGCAGTGTCATTTATGTATAAAGTACTAACGATATCATCTCCAGAAAATGTTTTTCATTTCGACCAACACTTTTTCCCCGTGACAACTACGTTATCGCGTGTTTTGCATGGATACAGGAATTAACGAGGTTTTAATTCACCAACGACAATGATGATCCCGCATCACTGCCTTCCATCAACAACCAAAGTTTTATTCATACACACGCATGCATACATACATAGAATAAATTTAATTATTGTCGTAGTGAATCTACTAAAATCATAAAATCGAATCTTTTGTATTGTATCGGTATTTGGATCAAAATGGTTAGTTAAATCCACGGCCAATGGGTATAACGAGTAATTGGTGAAAAATTAATCTCAAATCTCACACACGCAGAGTGGTGAAGTCTCACGCAACTCGAGAGTATAAAAGATGGAGCAGAAACACTAGCAATCCACAGTTGTACTGCCGAAATAAAGGTAAGTAGAAATATGATGCAGTCCTATGCTGGGTGTCGTCTTTGTGGTTACAGTAACAGTGAACACTACGATAAAAACTTTCCGTTGTTCAACATTGTTAAATTCTTTCTATTATTCCCGTGAAATCAGGAATTATGCAAATTATTATTGGTATACATATGGAAATACATATTTATGAATTCACTTGTCAAAATAAATTGCTTTGGGATTATTTATTGTCAAAAATCGAAAATATTTCACACTGTCAAAAACAGAAAGTCTTTATCATAGTGTTAGTAGATTTTGCCGACATTCTACAATTCCCAGTTTATCATGTTAGTAATCGTAAATTTATCAGTTTTGTGGGAATTAGTATTACTAGCCATTGACCATATTATGTACACTCACTTAGTGCAACGAGTTACATATTGCCACTCGAGGTCCGTAAATGTACCAATATTCGTTTGAATGAAGTTAACAGTCATTTTATTTCAACATGACACGTATATGCAATAACTTGTTACATTTTTCACTTCCTCCACCGCCAAGTTATGCACGTGAACTTCGTTACGTTAGAAAGAACATTTTGTAAATTTTTCAACAGCTTACAAAATGAAGGTCACGTGCGCATTGCTCCTAGTGTGTCTTGTTGGATATATATATGCCCAAGAAACAATTCCTGGTAAGCTTTATTTTATTTTATCTTATTTGTATTAATTATTTTAAATAATCTCAGTATTGTCACTAGGTATTGCCAATGTCACGAATGAACGAAGCGTGTATGTAGTCAGTATTTTCGCATTGAACAACTGCCAAAACACTTATCGTTTAGCCGTACCACGTCATTCAATGACGACATTATACTAGTAATCCCACCACTCAACTCTGTTCCGTGTTTATAGTTGGCGATCAGTTCAACTCATAATCCACCCATACATTCGCGTTAACGAGGCAACTATGCTTCGAGTCATAGCCATATTGTAATTGCATTTTTTTGCATTTACGATGCTACGGAATAGTAATTTAGGTATCACGATAGTCTTTCATGTTTCTGTTGTTGTTGTGATGGTGAAATCAATATATCGATACT